ATAATTATACATGTTTAACAGCACTTACAATATACACTTTACAATATGCTTCAAAATTTCATAAAGTGATGGCAAAAATGACAAACTTTGTCAATACAGATACATACAATGCTCACTATGTTCCTAAACTTATACTGTTGTTATTGACTGATGGTAACTCATAAATATACCTTGCAAGTATATGAATGTTCCTGATTCAAGATAGAAAGATATAATGCTAAGAATTTTATGAAAGCCTTAATCGGAGGACATACACCATTATGTTATCTTCTGAAGCAGAAGAAGAGTATGGGGTTCTATGAAAAACAGTAGATAGGCATTGTGCTAATATTAAGTGCAATAAGATTGGAGAACATCAACCAATATAATGGACACATGCAAAGGAAGAAGAGTATCTTGTGACTGTTTGCAGGACATCTGCAGAATACAGATTTTTTTTATTGAAATCTTAACACTCTAGATTTAGCAGAACAGTAAATTCTCAAAACTGAGAAGGAAAGCTTTTTGGAGGAAACCCCAAAAATGATTGGTATACAACATTTATGAACAAATGAAAAAATGAGTTATCTCTCTGAACACCAGAATTGTTGACACTGACTTACACTATCCTGCAACAGAACCTTGGCCTCTCCTGCTCAAGAAGCTATTTGAGAAGTTGCTACTGCTATGATTAAAGATTCTAAAGCAGATGCACAGGCAGCCAAGAAGCTGACCAATCCAAGCAAACAAAAGTATGGATGCAAATGCTTAACATCTAATGCCTCACTTGAACGTATTAATGAAGATGAGCAAAGCAGAGGTTAGAAAACAGCTCCTGCTAAGAATGTTTGAACCACAAAGACCAAGGCTTCAGTTCATGGGCAGACTAGCTCTTGCAGACCCAACAATGAAGTCTCTTCTTATGGGGTATTCCAGGTCTGCTATTTATGAAAAAAAGACGGGTAAAAAGCAATCACAATGGACATTTGCAACATAGTACGGGTATGTATAAAATGTGTTCCACCAGGTTTAGATATTTCTGATGATTTTTACTATAACCTATGTCTGAATTAGTTACCATACTTGAGCCTGTGTTGGAAATAAACGAAATAGAAACTATGTACTTTTATTTTGTTAAACTCCTACATATACCACTTTATATCCCAAAGTACTTGCACCAAGTTTTAAAGTGATCTTCCAGCCATTTTGATGTTACTCCACTTAAAAAGTAAAGTGAACTACCCAACTTTTAAAGAAAAAAAATTGGCCAGCAAAATGCATCTAGATTTGGTAACAAGACAAGACCTTATCAACAGTTTAAGAAATGGATAGAATGTTATGAATTGTTTTCTTCCTTATACTAATGGGTGATTCTAATTAATCATACAAATCTAATGGTCCTTATATGTTCAGAACACCCCATACAATAAAAAAAAAGTAAATTACAAAAAAACAACAACAATAACCTGTGCACTTTTAGAAGATAACCCTTCCTTCTTCCAAGGAGATATAAGGTCTATCTTTTGAAAGTGCTTAGGTTACCATTTCTTGCAATACATCTTTTTTTGGTAATGAATTTCTCTTTCCTGTTTCTAGAATGGGATAGTGTTTTGCCTTCTATACTTCTGCCTTCTCCTCAGATCAAAGTAAAAGTTGTTAACTGTGAACTTTCTTTTTGTTGTTTAGCATGATCCTGTGTACTTGTTTCTTCATGTGAATAGGTAAATCTGGAAGGGCATTGTGTGAATTCATTCTGTGTAGTGTGGTGAGATATGGAAGTGCTGTGTACATGAAACTTTTGTAATTTGATTGCAAGGACAAACAGCTCTCAAATACTTCCTCCATTACCTAAATTCCACTAATCCAAACATACAATTCACCATGAAAATTGAAGAAAGCATAACTCTATCATGTCTGGACATAGTCATTCACAAACTAGATGATCACACCAACAAAATAGTATGCAGAAAACCCACACATACAAGTATTTTCACTATAAATCTAACCATTCACAGGCTGTTAAAGGATGAACCATTGTGAACAAGTCTGAAAGAGCCAAAACAATCTGCATTAGAGAACTTAACTTCATGAAAAAGGTTTTTAAAAACAATGGTTCCTTACCAACTTCATCTCAACCTAAAAAAAAAACAACAAAAAAACAAGAGCTCCCAGCCCCAAAAACAAAATCAAAATTACATTACCATACATCATTACATTAGGCAAGAAACTCAAGAGGTTATGCTACAAGTGCAATATAAAAATTTATTTTAGATATGTGAAAACCCTCTCAAACACATTGCTGAAAGTAAAACTTCCCTTCAACAAGTTGAAATGAAAATAACTTATCTACAAAATATTATTCTTATGTGAAATAAATACGTTGGAGAAACATATCAAACTATACAACAAACACTAAAAGAGAATAAAAGCAAGCAACTATGCTTACATGTCCAGAAAAACCAATATTAACAGAACATGATTACAAATCAGGCTGTATCATAAACTGTTACAAACATCAACACAGCTTCCTATTGGAAAATAAGAAAAATTCAAGAATCCCTTTACATAACATTACATCAGCCTACACTAAACTGAAACCAAGGCTTTGACATCAGCAATCTCTGGTCAACATCTCTCACTAAACTAGAGAATGAAAGCCAAATTCACTCATAGCATTTCCAAATGGGTCTACTTACATGGAGAAACAGGTCCATAGGAAGAAGACTCTATCACAGGGCCACATTAACCAAAAAAAGACACTACATACAAGGGCATCTTCAGATAGGAGGGGGGGGGGATAAGAAACATAATTCTTTATTTATTTATTCAGCATACGTATATGAATTTACAAATTTTTTATTCACATCACAATTTCACACTACTAATTACATACAATTTCCAATTCTAATAAAAGTTGTCAGCAGCTTTACTTAAAATCTCTACCTTGTAGCTAAATATTGAAAAACATCACTACAACAGCAGCTTCTTGGATATTAGACATGGCAATTCTCATTCAAGTCATCAATGTGGCCATTCCCTGAGCCCTGACACAGTGTGATCAGGGTCAACCTGTTGCCACCTGTCAGTAATACCGGCACCAGGTTATCAAAGAGACTGATGCAGTCTTGCAGACAGACATCCCACGAGACAGCATGGTTGGAATTAACCTGCTGCCAGTATCATACACAGAGAAGTATCAACGTCATAAGTGCCAACACGACAACATTGTGTCATAGGTTAAGTCATATGTAATAGGCCTGTTACCAGCAACTTACTGCAGTTTTGGGAGAGACATCATACTGACAAACTGTGGATTTACTTCATTGGGAAACATCATATGATAAGGTAAGAAAGACTCTGTAAAAAGCACTAAACTTTTCAAAATGTTTTTTGTTATGATTATGTTCGGAAGTGTATTTTAAATCTCAAACTACTTAGTGCATTCTCCTTAGGGGGCCTGTTCGTATTGATCAGTTATTGAAATTTGAATTTTCAGTTTCAAAGTATATTAGCCTTAAATGTTGTTCTTACCATACATACACAATAAATGCCATTGAAATATTGTGCTTTATGTAACCTCAAATTACTGTATTCATATTAGCAGTTGTTTTATATAAGTTGAAATTATCTTATAGGTTAAGAACTTAAAAGAACAAACCAAAATTCACCATTATGGAGTATTTATAGCTGCAACTCTGCAGTATGGCTTAAACTAGCATTACAAATATTAAACATATCAAATCTAACTGTGGGAGTTTGATATTCTCTCGATTGTAATGGCAAAACTTTAAATGCAAGTACATCATCCCTTGATTTTGACCCCCCCCCCCCAAAAAAAATTTCTTGGGATGTTCATGACTACATGGTTAATAACACTGACATTGTCCTGAGGGAGGTCACAGTATAGTAGCTGAAATGTTGTCCCACTCTAGAAACAGACAGGAGGAGTTCACTTGACCCAAATCTCTACTATGTCTAAACTATGTAAAATACCCTTGAAACAACATCATATTTGTTATATTTCACAAGTGTTTTTATAGGTAAACATGTTCATAGATAACTAAATTAAAATACTGGTATAGAGGATTACATGGATATTTTTCTCTTGTAAAACATATATCTTTATTGGAATTTCTTTTTTATAAATAAGCAGAAACTTTCAAAAATCAGTTACAGAGATTTAACAGGAAGGTTTTTGTTATATTAAGTTTTTCTATAGATCATTTACTGGAAAATGTACTATAATACTGCATTATTTTTCAGAGAAAAATATGCATGCAGAATAACTAAATTTACATTTGTTTTCAAAGACTACTCATAAAATCATGACATGAGTAATTACATGTAATACTCAAAATAAAAAACAACACAATTTTCCAATTCTCAAAAACCATGGTTATCACTAAGTTCAAAACATGCATAATTGCTTGAACATAGTGTTATAATAAACAGGTTATAAGCAAAAATAAAAAATTGATGTAAAAGAAAAATATACTTACATATGTATATCAGAACATCATCACTATTTTGATTCAAAGTATAAATATATATTTAATTACAAATTAAGTTTATTATAATATGACTTTTCATCTTACTAACATTTGATTTATAAAATGTGTCAATGAGGGTTTTGAATGTTTCATTTAAATAAATGCTTTTCCCAACTAGTCATTAGCAAAGAATTTCTACTTTCTGTTTTAGTAATTTTAAATGTTCACTTAAAATCATTTACAGAAATTTTCTGTGCAGTGGAAACCATTCTTCAAACAATATCTATTTTGAGAGAACACAATTAATATATTACATCTGAATTTCGCTACCTCGAACATGTATCATTTGATGTCGTCTTAAGTTACCTTTCTGTGTAAAACTTTTCTGACAAATATCGCATCTGAATGGTCTTTCTCCAGTATGCAGTAATTGATGCTTCTTTAAGCTTACCTCCTGTGTGAAACTTTTTCCACATACACCACATATAACAGACCGTTCACCCGTGTGTATAAACTGGTGTTCTCTTAAGCGTCCAAACAGTACAAATCCTTTGCCACAAACATCACATTTAAATGGTCTTTCTGTGGCATGCTGCAGCTTATGCCTTTCTAAATAAGTTTTCAGAGCAAAACTTTCTCCACAAACATCACAGTGAAATGGTTTTTCTCCAGTATGTAATAACTGATGTTGTTTCAAGATTTTTCTATCTCTAAACCTTTTATCACAGAGGTCACATGCAAAGGGTCTCTCTCCTGTGTGAATCATCTGATGTCTTTTTAAGTCATGACTTAGAGTAAAACTTTCACCACAGACACTACAACTGTATGGTCTTTCACCTGTGTGAATCAAATGATGTTGTTTTAAGTTTCGACAGTGTATAAACTTTTTACCACAAATGTCACAACAGAATGGTCTCTCTCCTGTATGAATCAGCTGATGTTGTTTCAAGTGATTATTTTGTGTAAACTTCTTTCCACAGACATCACAAATAAATCGACTCTCTCCAGTGTGAATAACCTGATGTTCCCGTAAGTGATCTTTTCTGGTAAAGCTTTTATCACAGGTATCGCATTTAAATGGCTTTGTTCCAGCATGCTGCAGCTTGTGCTTTTTTAAACTTCTGTTTTGCTTAAAACTTTTCCCACAAACATCACATTTATACTCTAGTTTTTGTTTATGTGTTAACATGTGTTGAAGAAGACTACTGGAGTTATCTGATGAATACTCACAGTACTGACAGTTATGTTTCTCACTTTCAAAATTTTCCGACTTGAGGAGTTTTTCATTTTGTGATGAAAAATATTTTCCACATTCATTAGAGCCTAAAAAACAAAACAAAAATTAAATTAAAAAGACAATATATATCTAAGTTATATATTAATATTTTATTTCTTTCAGGAAAAATCAAGTACAATTTTCTCAGTTTAAAAGATAAAGAACTATAAATTTTAACAGTTTACTTAACAGAATATTTTGCTATCACCTACCATACTTTTTAAACCTAACAAGGCTTACATACTGTTTTGTCATGGAATAAAATTTCTTTGGCTTCCAAACAAATACAGTTTAACATGAAAGTTAACATTTTCCAACACTGAATATGTATTTCTGACAGATACCTCCTCTCACATAATAGCTTTCCTTGATTCATACTGCCCTCTATATGCACAGTTTTTGCTCACCACTAGCCTTGAGGCTCACACCTAACATCAAATGTTTACACATGGTATGGCTGTGTTGTAGCATGCAACAACCCCCACCAATAGGAGTGTGACACACCTTCTTAGTGCATCTGAATCCCTTTATTCTGTAGAGTACTATCATCACTTCGAGATCAGGGAAAAAATGGAGGTAAGTATCTATGGGAAATACATCATCGGTGGTGGAAGATGTTAACTTCTGATATGATACCTTATCTCTGCTCACATAATAGCTAGAATCCCACATTGACCTGGTGGAGGGAACAGTGTAAAATTTACCTAGATGAGTCCCCTTTGGAAAATGCCCAAAGAGAAGCCATGGAGCATAACACACTATACCATGAAAGTATAGGTGCAGAACCATGGGAGACTGTACCCCTTTTGTATCAGTGTATACTTTTTGCTTGCAGTGAAGCTAAGTGTCACCAAGTAGGACAGAAGAGAAGCAAATCCAGTAGGGGACATGCTTGATGGTGTAGAGTGGCTAGGGCACATCAGATTGTATGTGGTGGGTCAACTCCAGTCCAAAAACAGGCAGCATCAGCTATGTGTTTTCCAGTCTGTGGTAGGAGAAGGGTCCCAATTATCTTTACCTCGATATCAGGAAGCAGGAGGAAAAGTGGCTTCTGTTCCAGCAACCTAGGTATGGCACATGTGTGTAGACTCAGGCCACCAGACAACAGCAGGAAGTCATGGTGAGTCAACCCCAGTCCAAAACCAGGTGGTATCTGGAGTGTTTCCTCTGGTCTGTGGTAAGAGGAGAGCCTCTACCAACAACACGTGTGAAGAATTATGTTGGCTAATCATACACTTATTCATCACCAGACCACCTGGGAACTAGTATCCAGGCAGCAATAGGATGGGGGAAAGCCAGCTGGAGTGGTGAATTGCATGTGATGAATTCATCCAGTCCACAGTAGGAGGAGAGTACACACCATCTACACAAACAGAACACTAACACACTCAGGAGGAAGTCTTCATTGTCCATCACCCCAGTGGTGAGGAACTGGTAAGTGATATGGACTCCTGTACTCCACTAGAAGAGGGGGGATGCAGTGGGGAGTCTGCAGGAACACAACACCTTAAGACTGTACAGTAGGTGACCATGAAAATCCTATTTTGAAAAACAGGATGGTCCTGGTTTATTCAACTAGGACCAAAGGGATGGGCAGCAATCTCAACACTGCTTTATTCACAATAGTCCATGAGTTGGTTTGGTCTCAAACATACCTTATTTATGAAGCAATATGCCACAAGAAACCCTAAAGCAGTTTTGTGGAATGCTCCATCTCATCAGTGAGTGTTACAGATTTTAAAGGTCGCATGTTGCAGATTTAAAGTTAAGTACCCTGGCAGGCATTGCTGGACACTCAACAGGATCCTGAGATGTATAAATGTGCCACTGAGAAGGCAAGAGATACAGAAAAATAACTTACTCAGTAAGAGCCAGGAAATTATGTAGATGTTGTTTATTATTTAGCACAAAGCTACATAAAGGACTATCTGTGCTCTGCCCCCCACAGGTACCAAAACCCAGTTTCTAGCAGTATAAGTCTGCAGATACACCACTGTGCAAATGGGGTGGAGTTATATGGTTGGTCAGACAATGAAGATTATGTGTAATGAAAATATGCAGGGCAGTCCACATGCCAATCAGCATAATCTCCACCAATGGATGATGGAAGTGAGCAGCCATAGAGAGAGTAAGATGTCAGATTTGACAAGAGGAGACCTGACAAAGTCAGTGTAAATCTACATCTAATAATGAAGCATAGGCTAAATGGATGAGCTGCTGTAGCCATCCCGTGAGGGTAACAGAAGAAATATCTCAGGGAGATAAGGAATTCTGCAGAGTATATAGACAGTAGCATGACCCATGAAAAGGTGTAGTGCAGGCCAAATAACAACAAACCCCATGGTTGGTACAGAGAAAATGATTTGGATTAGAACAAGAATATAAGTGAGAAGTAGAAGGAAGGGGAAACATGTGTATATGTGTTTTCTCCTTCGCAAGCCGCAGATGTTTTAGAGAGAAAAGCATGAGCAGGATAATGGTGGAAAAAATACAGGAAGCATCAATGGCATATATGTCAGATCTTCTACAGCCACAGGCAAAAAGGAAGAAATAGGACTTAAGTGGAAGATGATACAAGGAATAAGAGACTAAAGTTGCAAAGAGAGGAAGGGTAAGAACATGTAGAACAACATTCAGGGCCCAGTTGGGAAGGAAAACCAGATGAAGGTGGCAAAAAGAACGAAAGAACAGAGAAAGGACAGGAGAAGAGAATACATGACAATAATAGGAAACCTGAAAGTATTAGGCTGAGTTGCCCTGTAGCTAGCAATGGTTGAAAGCAAAAATTCAGTAAGATGAGAGATGGGAAGGGGGGAAAGAATGATTCAGAGACCAACTACAGAATGTGCACCATTTTCAGGATAAAAAAGGAGGGAAGAAGAATGAATGGAACAACAAAGAAGGAAGGCTACATGTGAAGAGAACCTAGATGTCTCGCAAGGGACCATACAAAACCCACACATAAAACCAGAGTGATGACACTGCCAGATGAGAGAGAGAGAGAGAAGTGAAATTGAAGGAATAGGGAGAGTGACAGAGCTGAGGAAGAGGAGGAGAGGACCAGAGAAAGTTCATTAGAGGAAACCACAACTGAGTCAGCCATTGTGAAGCAAGCAGGAAGATTCAACATGGAATGGAGATTAACGAAATTACATCAGGGAGATAATGAATAGGAAAGTAGGCATAGAGAAAAAGGTTGGACCAGTTCTGACTGAATGCATCCACATTATGAGCCAAGGGATGAGAAACTAGGGACCAAGAAAAAGAAAGTATAGTTTTAAGATGAGTGCCCAGTTAAAGAGTACAGCTACTGAAACACCAGAAGATCAAGGGACCACTCCATAGGAAGTATCTAGCTGGGCCTCAAAAGACAATTTGTGACAAGAATCAGAGCATTCAGAATATTACAAGCTATTAGATGTATATTTAAAGTATGGGTGCAGAAAAAAAAAAGAGGTCAAGAGTGTGGAAACAGAGAGAGAGAGACTGGGTCCCCCCATGTGATTGGTATAGGAGACAACAAAAGACGTAGTGTCAATAGCTCTAAGACAGTGATATGAAAAGATGAATTATTATGAGACCACCAACCAAAAATACTTGACAGTCAAGACATGCCCCCCCTCCCAACTCGTCATGGAGGCATCTGGAAACAATTGGAGACCTGATTAAGAGGAAGGAAGAGGTACACACTCTGTGGTATTGGGTGTATAAAGTAACCAGGTGAAGTCTTTGAGTAAGGATGAAGGTAGAAAAATGGTGGAGGACAAAGGAACCCAAATGAGAAACGAGTGATCATGCAGAGTCCATTAAAGACGTCACAAATGAGCATGACCCAAGGGAATGTGGGATTCTATGGAAGCCCATGTCTCCAAAAGTGAGAGAAGGAGAGGATAGAGCATGGGAAACTAATCTTTCCACATCCCTCAAAACAAGAGGAGAAAGTTAGGCCCTGTGGAGATGCAAACTGAAAAACACCCCAATGAATTAGAAACTAAATAAGTGTGAGATTCAACTTCTCCAGGTTGACCAACCAACCCAGACTTGCCACCTCCCAAAAGAGGAGAAAAACTAGGTGTAGGAGGCTTGTTGGGATGGAGACAAATGAGAAAAGAAGCATTCGTAAAGTCCACCTCAGTCATCTTAAGACCTGGGGCAAAAGATCACCATAGGGTGAAAAAAAGTCTCCATGGTAAATCCAGGGAGGTAGAGAAACCAACTGAGATATGCAATGACTAAGACTGGATGCCTAGCTACAGATTCCTTGGGAACCACAAAAAGACAGGAATAAATCCTTGAAAAGGATGAGAAACCCATCCAATAGTCTGTAGCCCTTAGGTCCAACACTCCCACAGACACTGGAAAGAAACAAGATCCCTTGGAGAAGGGCAAGTAATGGGAACAGGAAACAATGGTGGAGGAGAAGACAAAACAGAGGGTACAGCTCACTGACAGAACTTCAAGTTCTCCACATTGGGCTGCAACAGAGGGCAAAGGTTCATAAATGCGATAAACAGGACTCACCAACCCCAAGCCTATACGACAGTCACTACCAAGATTGACAGCACTGAAGTCTATGAGTGGTGGAAGAATGGATGGGAACAGAGGAAAGAGAAGTGGTGAGAAGGAGAGAAGAGGAAGGAGGAGGAAAGGAGATAGAGAGAGGCAAAGAAGGAACACGAGAAAGATGGTAAACCAAAGAGGATAAGGAAGAACATAGGCATGCAGCCCCAACATATGACTCAAGAGAAACAAGCACTCTAGTAAAATCACACAGACAGATAAAAGTAACCACACAAAGGCATACAAGAGAAAAGAAAAAGGAAGGCAAAAGGACTTGAGTAACAAGGACATCATGCTCCAACAATCTCTAGCAAGAGATCAACCAAATATGAAGGGATAAAGCTGAGGAAGGTAAACATGCCATTGTAGAGAAGATAAGTGAACGTGCATCTGCCGAAAACCCCTCAAAGGAATGATGGATTACCACAGAAAGAAGGTGAATAGATGAAAAATAATGATAGAGTGTAAGACAAAGGTGGGAAAACGTAAGCACAAGAAAAAACAAACAAAAGACAGAGGATCCACCCACAAGTCTGAAGAAAAAACTATTGAGTTTAGATGTCAAAGAAAGGTAATACAGCACAATGTAAGGACTAGTCATATGTGGTAGCAAAGGAAGTAGGATGAGAAATGCATGTACCAAAGTAGTGATAAAAGTAACTTAATATATATATATATATATGCTGGTCTAGCAAATTGTGAATATATGAACACTCACATGTACTGCTGCTAACTTTTGTATCCCGATTGCTCCCTACTTGTTTCAACTCTTCATTTCTTATATTGGTATCATTTTCTTGTGTTAAATTCTCAGCACAATTTTCTTCAACTTTGTTCTCTCTTGAAGATGACAAACTTGGTGGTTCTTTCTTTATTTTGGTTGTTGTTATCTACAACAAGAGATGAGTTATTATAACAAGAATAGGCCCACACAGGTAGTGAATAGATAATACACAGAAACAAAATCACTTTAGTAACATTTTATAAACCTATTTTTTTTATGCTGAATGCAGACTTAAAATACTGATTTTAATTGTCTTTTCACTTACGTAATTATTTAAATATTTGGCTATTGTATATGCAAATCAAAAGAGCACATTAACTGCCTTGCTCATATTTATAACTACTATACAATTATTAAAGTTGTATTTGAATCAGAAAATTTATAATTTTATTAGATACAAGTAATTATAGTTGTTTCTATAAATGATGCATTTTATCTCATTCTGAACCTATGTGATTTAGCATACCACTCGTGAAAGTTATCATTTTCTTACTCTAAAATGTATTTAAGATAGATACCTCTCTTCACCACAAGGAGCTTGCACACACAACTATTTAAATTTGTGTGCATGCCTTAGACAAAGCTTCCACCTCTACATGTGTCAACATGTATTACACCAGTCTATGATGTAATTATCATTAAACTATAGCCTTCAACTAATAGGAAGGCAACACATCCTCCATGCACAGTAAAATCCCCATGGGAAATAACATGTGGATACAGAGTCATTCTTAATGAGGCAAACTAAATGCAATGGAAGTGAGAAGGAAGGAAGGGTAAGAGATGGTGCAAAGAGGTGAGTATTTATATGAAATACATTTTCATATAAGGAAAATGTTAACAGTGAAAATGGTGGACGGGCCAGTACAGAAAAATTACAAAGATAAGCTTATTTTGAAAACATCATCAGCAAAGGAAAGCAAATGGGGTGTGACATCCACAAGATGGAGGTAGACTAGTGAGACAATATTCTGTGGGAGACCATATCCATCTTAACTCTTTCAGCACAGGCTTGGTCCCTGGGACCAACCTCATAACCATTTTGTGCTTGTTATAGTTTTCATGCTATAACTTTTAAATTAGTAAGCATAAGTTAACAAAATTTCACAGATTATGAGTAAACATTACAATGCTTTCATACACAAAAGTCTTAAGGTTTGTAAAGCAATGTTTTTCTCATACCTTTTTCTCTTTTCGCATGTTACCTATCCAACATGCAAAGTAATTTTCAATTTAAGATTAAAAATACTTTTGTGCATCAGAAAATTTTCAAATTTCACATGTGAAATCTTTATAATGTCCAGATAGTTATCAAACATTTCTTAAGAAAAAAACTTTACTGTTATTTTCAGTGACAAATCTCTATACTGGTTTGGTCGACTTGATCGATCTCATAACCATGTTACAAAAATTAGGAAATAAATATAAATTATGCCTTTTTCATTCTAGAATGACTAGAAATTATAATACAAAAACATAAATGTTTAGACTAAATATCTTAAATATCATAACATTATAAATTTATATACATTTATTATTTTTATTATATTGACCTTTCAGCCATGCCTGGCTAACAATACAGAAGTTACAATGATGCGGCGCATGTGCTGTCATGTTATCGTATCCAATAATATAAAACTGACCTTTAGTCTTTACAAAGTGAACTATCTTGGCTGTGTTTTAGTAGACTAGTATTTTGTAAAATACAGTCACATTTCAATTATTATACATTATATATGTATATAGATTATTACTATTTAGAAATAAGTTCTTAAACTTATTTTTCTTAAAACATAGAACAGTAACTAAAAAAGTAAAGCAATTATCTCTTCTAGTTACGACCTTTGTACTCGGTTGTTGCTTGACAAAGGTTGCTAAGCCTTTTAAAATTTTGCAAAGCATAGCAAAGTCATCTCTGAACCTGAATTATGTGTAGGCTCCAGGGTAGGCTGGTCCTGCTCCAACCATATGTCTGGGAAAAACATCCAGGGTTATTTGTATGAGGGTACCCAGCTTCACCTTCTTCTCCTTGAGTGGAATAATAAGTTCAAGCATCACTCAGGAGGAATAAACCTCTGTTCATAACTGCAGCAACTGGTAACTAGATGTGGTAATGAGTCTTACATGCCACTTGGAGAAATGGGGAGGATACTCGCATTGGAGAGTCCTGAGGAACAATGCTCTGGAGACAGCGCAATAGGTGAACCACATTCTCTATTTTGAAAAGCAAACCTACCCTGATTTACTCAATCTAGAAGTCAGCAAAATCCCCTTAAGCTATACTCATGATAGTCCATGAGTGGCAGTCCAATAGTGTATCTGTCTGTGTGTCATAATTATTTACCACTCAAAAAGCATGAAAAATGACCATTATGGAACACTCCATTTCAACAGAGCTTACTGCTACCAGGAAATTTTTTTATTGGTTGGCTGGTATCTGGTGTGGATTTTGAAATAAGCATACCTGACCAGACAACACCCGCCACACAGTGGGATCCAAATGAAAATGATGAGGGTCCCTGAAAAAGAATAGAAATAAACACAAAAGAAATGCGGTCACTCACCTCTCTTACAAACTAGCTGGGGCATGGGGAATAGTCTCGGGGGCTCTTGAATTCCATATCCCCTACACAAGTTCCCCATCCCTGGAGAGAAGCATCTGTGAAAAGATGTGTCTCTGGACATGGGGGCAGGAGAGGGACACCTATTGTCAAGTTGTCCCTGTTCAACCAACACCCACAATCAACCAGTGCATCCATGCAAATGCTCGTAATGACCACTAAAAGGAACGCATGTAGGCCTAACTCAAAGCAACGAGTGATTCTAAGGATGCTCACATCCTCAAGAGATAGGAGGCCTGTAATAAGCCTCAGAGAATAGCAGTTGTAAAGAATATAAAAAACGAAAAACTGTTGTAAGGCATCAGGCCTAGAAACCCAAATCGGGAGAAGAGGATCTAGCTTCTGAGAATCTAAATATGGGTCATTCAACAATAGAAAGCTAAGGCATGCCGATCCAATATATGGGGAAGACAAGTCATGGCAGTACCCTCTGTCAATTGATCAGCAAACCTCAGAGCATATACAGCAATGTCTGGCAAAGGTGTAAAGACTAGGTAATCAGCCTAATGACTCACCCCCAAACAAAGAAGAAGAGTCATAAACCACAGGAGAAATGCTCAAGACATTATAAAATTGATGTACTAGATGCAAAAATGGTGGAAAAAGTGGGATGTCTGTCCAAGGCTCTTGATTAGCAGTCTGAGCAAAGGAAGGAACTAGAAAAATAGAGTCAAATTCTCACCAGTCCATCCCTGATCCCCTGCAAGCTCAGCCTCTGAGCCAACAAGAAAAGAAACATCAGACCTCATGGAAGACTCCACCTCTCTGCGAATGAGGTATTGGACATCCTCCACAGAAAGGGAGCCTCCTCCAATCCCCAGGCAATGCTAGACACCAGAGGTGATAGATTAGGAGCACTAGAAGAGATGTGAATGTAAGAATTCATATCTGAAACATCTCAGAACTTTTTGTTTTGAAAATAAAGAAAATAAACAATAAACTAAAAACGCAAAAAGACGGGGTAAAAAAGAAAATCCTCCAAAGCATAGGTATAACTAAAGTTATACAACACGTAAGAGAAACCTGCAACAAGCATGTAAAACCATCATCGTAACATTCTGCCATTGAGAAAAGTGAATAGAATATTTTTGTAGACAATTCATATGACTGTATAATATATCCAGCTGTGAATTCTTTTATATGACATTTTACATATACATAACTGTGTCCCACTTAGCTAACTGCTTCCTTCAGCAGTGACCTGCATCTTTCACAAACCTTGCAAAAATGAATAAAATAATTCAGTTATAAAAAGAGAAGATTATTTATACATACAAAACTTAAGTGGAATGTTGATCATAATAAATCTAATAATAAAATTTGTCTTAAAAATGTTCTTATGTGGCTGCTGAAATAATAACATTGCTACAACTTACTTGTTGTTTGAGATAGTGCATTTCTTTCCATTAATTTAAACTTAAGTAATTTCAGTTGACTTTTTGCATAACAATAAATTAAAAAAGTTTTCAAGTACAAAGTTTTTCAATCTGCACTGCTGTCTTAAATTCATAAAACACACATTGATAACTCTGCTTCAAGTGTCTTTAAAAATAATATATTTCTGTTTTTATTACTAAGATACACAGATTTAATAATTTTCTTATGCTTTGGTTACAGTAAAGATAAGCTCAGTAACTAAAGAAATCTTAATTACTTACTAATTAAAATAACTTCAATGTCAGCAGTTTCTATTTTTACAGACTCACTTGGTGAGAATCTGATTCATATTGATAACTATATATACATAAAAGAAAAAAATACACCTACAGCCAGAAATGGGTTTGAAAACTGTGACCAATTTATTTTTATTTTATGTTATTACACATTAAAATTTTAAAGCTAAGGTATCCCCCAATAATAATAACTTCAATAACACATAGAATCCAATTTTCTTTCATTAAATGTTGCTGTAGGACTTTTTGAATTTATTTATGAAGTTTCAGCACTCTACAATTAAGATCAATGAAGTAAAATCTCTACTACTAATAATAATCTACTATGTACCTGTAATCTGATGTCTTAAAAGTTTCATTAACATCTTTACTACCACTAACAGTCTACTATGTACCTCTGGTGTCTTAATGGTTTTAATAACCTCTTTATGTGGTGTAATATATATGTGATTTTCAGTTTGATTCCTTCTTTCATTTCCTAACTTGGACTGGCAAGTCAGAGAAGTTCCTTCCAAAGCAGGTTCTGGAAGATTTACATGTAGTAACTCTTCTCTCGTGTCTGAAGAAAAAAAAATCTGATGATTTAGTATCCCCTAACACTGATAGTGACAACTGATGATGTAAACCTACTAGCTTAGATAAAGTACAGTTCATAAAATGTAATTAATATTGCATTCAAGAACTAATAACTTTAGAAACAAAAATTACATAGAAAATGATGACTTCCTACAAATGATACTATTTATTACTGGTTAGATATTTTTCAAATTGAAGTGGCCCATAAAGTACTGTGTCATAGTGTTTTTGTCATTTACATTAACTTTTACCCTGGACCTTCCAAAAGTAACTAACAACTGTTAAAAAACAAAAACAACTTAAATTGACCACAAATAAACAAATGAACTTTAAAGTTAGTTTATGAAATTTAAGGAACTTAATAAGATTAAAACAATGTAGAAAGAAAAATATCAAATAAATATTTTTATTTTACAAGTACATGTATAACATTGTTAGCATTCCAGAATTTATAATAAATACTGGTTTTATAACATGCAGTATACTATTTAATCAGGTAAAAAATTAATATTTATATGTGTGTATAAATAAATCTCTTTTCCTTTCATATAAGTGCCTTCTTGTTATTTCTAAAGCATTAATTTAATACAAATGTTTATTACCTGTGAGATGTTTAATGGAACATAGTATGAAAACCTATAATCAATGTGGCAAAAGGAAATAATAATTTATAACTAAATAGGATCTCTTAGTTAAATAAGAAAGTTGAAATATGAATTCTGATTAAGGGTGTATTAAGTTTTCTTCAAATTTGATATTATTACTATATCTAACATTTGCTCATACTGTGAGAGGGTATGGTACATGTTGTGTATTCTAATATTGCCATATAATATTAAAAATGTATAAAGGCTAACAAAAGGCAGAGGCTATCCACACTGTTTTCTCCAGCTTTGGCTATCTTTGCAGATAATCAATTTTTGCAAAATTAAATTCTAAACTTTCTTGATAATTAGGAAAATAAGACTAGGCCACACCAAGAAAAAAAAGAATCATGTTATGTGGATTCTTCTGCCCCTACTTTTTGGTTTTGTCTTTTTTTAGGGAGTTAGCAATAACAAAATTGAAAAATATCAACAGTTACTTATTGTGACTAGCTCTTCTTTAAAGCAAAAACTTTGTTGATTTGAAACTTTATTTGAACATTCATTATTTGATTAAAGTTATAATTTTCCTATACTAAAAATGTATTTCACATAGATAGCCACATTTGCATAGAACTACGAGCAATTACTTCATGCATCAGCCATGAAGATTTTTTAGCATGCCACAAGCCTTGAACATACCTCTCACCCCTTGATGTATTAATGTGTAAAGTGCCAGCCTATGATGTAATCATCATTAGAATATAAGCCTTTCCCCAGTATTAGGGAGAAACATCCTCCACGAACATTAAACCCCAGGAGCACTTGTGTTTCAACAAAGGCCCATTCTTGATGAGGCAGAAGAAACACACCAAAAGTGGGGAAGAAGGGTAGGAGTATTATCAGAAATACATTTTCACATAACGAAAATGTTAATTTCATAAATGCTACTCACATCTCCACAGAACTAATAGCTAGAACCCCACATAGATAATATGGTGGAAAGGCTGGTGAATAGAAGCCAATCATCTATATAATGGTGAAACTGTAGGCTTAAGGATTGCATACTTCATAGAAGAGCCCTCAACTGAAAACATATGGGGCAAGACTTTGAACTTAAATATTTGATCACTGTGGACAAACTGAAGGAAACAACAGGCAGGCATACAAATCGAAAGGTGGATTGAAAAGCATACAAGACACTGAATTTTGGTCATCCACATCCTGGGAGACAGAGAAAAATTGTCCATCTTGAACAGTCCAAGTTGTAGAAATCTATTACAACTCACCAATTTTTTGTTTTCTTGTGAATGGCAAAAAGCTGAAGTAAAATCCTTTAGTGGGGTTAAGCACCTGTTCCATAGTGTTAATAAGCTTGAGAGATGACACAGCCTCTTCCAGGTACCTAAAGAGTAAGGGTGGAAAATTAACAGATAAAGATAAAAAAGGTTTAGTGTAAGTCTAGGGAGTGTACCTGTGTGACCAATGGTTTTCTCCAAAAGGTGTCTAAAGGTGTGCAAAGTGGGAGTGCTGAGCCTCCACTGGACTGGAGAAAGGGGCAGCTACAGAAACAAGTCACCTCCAACACCTGTAACAGCCTGCCTTCTGAGAAAGTGGACACTGAAAAGTAGAAAGAGGGTGAGAAAAAGTATATGGATTCAAGTAGCTAAGGGTCGAGGAAAGAAGAATTTTGACCATACAACAATGAAAAAGTATCTTGAGGGTTGACAGGACATGTTAGATGAGGGTTGCCATGAAGGTATGACAAAAAGTAATCAGCATGAACACAAATATTAGGAGAGTGGGGAAAGACAAGAGGATCAGAAGAAAGAGGTTCATACTTCAAAGTTGCCTGAGATTCAGCAAAAACAACTGGTGAGATTAACTGATTCTTATTGAGAAGAGAAGAAAAATAAGCAAAAGCAGGTGGTAGAAACAGTTAGTCAAAATCATCTAAAGACAGGGCAGGCTTAGTTGAAATAACAGAAGCAGGTGATCAAAAATCTCGAGCCTGAGATAAAGAAGGTAGAATGGAACCAACCACCTGATGCACAGTGGTAATAAATGACCAAAGGAGTTCCTCTGCCTCTAGTCACCAGTGTTGTAGTAGACAACTCCAGTTATTCAGTTTCAAACCTTGGGAGGTATCAGAAACATGGATATGTGAATTCATAATCAAGACAATCCATGTAAGTGTTAACCTCAGTTTTTTTTTAATATTCCTTAATTAATAGAAAAAGATATATTTTGCACTTGAGTATAAACAAGAGACAAAAAAAATAACTAGTTTCATAATGAAAATTAATGTAAAAGTGTAAAGCAAAAATTCTGTAATTCTCACAAAAAAAGGAATTTATGAATAATTCAGTGCCAAGGAATAGAATTAAACATTGTTAAAATGCTAGTTTTTGAAGGGTTCACTGTGCAAAGAGAATGTGTCACACTTCTCCTGGTAGAGCACTGTAGTCTAATGATGATTCCATCATAAGCTTGGGCAGTACACATTATTACATTAGGGCTGAGAATTACATTTAAGGCATGTGCAAAAAAATCTTCTCACCAGATGGGCTAGGTAATAATTATTAGTTCTGTGGAGAGGTGAGTAGTTTCTGAATTAATATCTATTTTGTATACTTTATAAGTAGGAAAAGCTTGTGGTTAGCTCGTTATAAAATTCAAAGCATTCTAAATGCTTAAAGGTTGGGAAAATTCCTTCACTTAAAAAAAAAAAAACTAATGAGAAAAAATAAAAATTTTTGCTGCTGTCTCGTGAGTTTTGGTAAAAAAGTTCATAGAACAAGATTGTTTTTTGGCTTAGCATTATAATCAAGAAGAGCACTCATTAATAAAGGTTTTTGTGAACTGGTACACTGTTTGTTGATATACAGCATCAGATATAAGTGGTATTTGAGCAGTCTGACATATAACTGTAGTTCAATTTCTCAGAAGAATTTTTCACTTCTGTTGCTGATTTTGCCAGTAAATAAAAAAAAGGGGGAGGGGGTAAAGAATAGGAAAGTTTATTAGTTCAGTTACCAATAAGAAAATAAAAAACTAATAATGTATAGCTTTACCAGTTCATTAGAGATCAAATAGGAAGGCTTGGATAACTGGGCAACACCTTGAAGACTGGTTTGTCAACTATTTCTGCATCAAGTTGGAGTGATACTGCTGAGAGCCTTACTCCTAGATAACATCCTGAGACACCCTACACACCTTACTGATCTGCTCCTTACTGTTATTGATGTTTCTGCTGTCCAATACCATTGCCTTAATCCAGCCTATGGATCAGGACATTATAGCAACTTTTGAAATGTACTATCTGAGGTGGACATTCTACTATATGCTGGATGCTACCAATGGACCCAAAAAGCCATCAATTCATTATTTCTGGAATAACTGCAACATCCTGTATAATGTCAAGAGTAATTGGGACAAAGTGAAGAAGAACACCACCATGATTGCTATTTGGAAAGACCTGTGGATGTAGTGGGTCCATGATTTTACAGGATTCATGAACCTGACCTCAGAAACAGTGGAGATCATCAGGTTTTGCCAAAATATTGGAGGGAACAAGTTTGAGGATTTACAAGAGAAAGAGAACACCAAGCTTCTAGAGTCCCACAATGAAGAATTGTCTTTAGAGAACTTGGTGGAGCTGATAGAGAGGAGAAACAGGGGAAAGAGGAGCATGATGTCCTTATAGAACCATGCCAGCTGGCCCAGGAAGTGGTGAATATGGACTCAAACCTGTAGCATAGTTTACAGTTTGGGAGGAATTTAACATCTGCCCTAGTTACCTACAAGGATATCTGCCAGAAGAAACAACTCAGGTCAAATCAATTCACCTTTACTTAATTTTTTAATGTTTCCAATCCAACAACGCTTGTTTCCAGCATCTCCACCCCTGCTAGTACAATGATCCACTCCATTAATCCTGCTAGTCCAGTGATGCTCACTGGCTCTGAAAGCCCCAGTAGAACAGTCCTTATCTCCACTCGATGATAGTTGCTGTCAGTAAGGTGGACTCTGACCTTGATGATCCTCTCCTCAAAGCAACTAAAGCTCCACCTTCATCTTACATTATCATGTCTTAGGTGCCTAACTACCAGTTTGTACCAGTGAGTGCTCATAAATATATATATATATTTATTTAAATTTGTGTTGTATAAGTATTTTGTTTGTTACAAAGTGTTTGAGTGTTGTATGTGTATTAGTGAAACAGAAGTGGGACTGGAACCCTACCCCCCCCCCCTTACACACACACATCACCACCAATTTACACTGCCTTTCCTCAGAACACATCCCCAGTTTAAAGTCATGGACAGATGTACATTGACTGATCAGATGTTTAATTTTTACATCCAATGGCTTGAATAGACCTGGCATAACATCCAGAAATAATCTTCAAACATAGAGATTTTTTTGCCCATTTCCTCAATTACTCTTTAATGCTAAATTTTCAAATGAGATAAACTTACTTGCATATTTGTTCGAAATAAATTTAACAATTTTTGTGTGATAAATCATTTTTTGTCAAAAAAAGTTGAAGAAAGTTGAAAGAAAAGATATTCACATTATTGAAAACAAATATACAAATGTGTTCATTTTATCATTTGTTAAAATGTGCTTAAAAATAGTTGAAAACTACAAAAAAACATTCCACATATGCTGCAATTTTCAATACCCCCCCCTCAAAATTAGATATTGTGAAATTAATAGAAAATTATATTTTTTGTTTTTATTCTACTTCAAATCTGAATTTGGTAAGATGTGATTATCCATGTAACAGAAAACAGTCCTATTGACAGTATGGATAACCACTCATAACATTAACAGGGAAGGATATATCAATTCTGGAAAAATTCCTCTAAGAATTTTTTAGGAAGAGGTATCAAATATCGAAATGGCAAAAGATACATCTTAAATTAATTTCTAACTGTTATTTTACTACTGACTTCTTACCAATATTATATAATTTCGATTCATTCAGAGAAAAAACAAGCTTACCTGCAATTGCTATGACTTTAGCTGGATATGTTACTATTTCATCTTCATCTTCATGAAATTCCTTGCCATCCACTCTAAGACATATTTTGGGTCTAAAAAGGTCTCTCTCACTGATCTCTACACATTTTTTATTATTAATAACAATGTTCTTGTCAGTATGCTTACTACTAATACTAGCATTAGTAGTATTACTATTAGTAATGTTGTTGGTGTTAGAGCCGACCCATCCTCCACTTGTCCATTTCACTTTAACATTTACACCAATTAATGGACATTTTTCTTTCCCATAGCCAACAACAGAAGTACTACGACATATCTCAACCGTGTTTTTGTGATAAAAATAAAGTAAAACATACTTCATTATTACATGTGGAAGAGAAAATTATCTTCATAAAATACCAACAACGGAAACGAAAAATGGTAATGTTATTATTACCTACTTAAGTAATACGCCACCTATCTTCCCCGTCTCATATATCATAATAAATGTAAAATAATATACAAAATGAAAAATCTGCAATTTGCAAAGTATACATTAACATAGACTAGCACCACAAACGAAAACGTATGGTGAAAGTCGCAATCGCACTATAAACAAATATAAAAATCCTCACGAATTTGACGAATTTTTCTTGTTTATGCATTGTTCAAAACATTTAAAGTACAATCGCAATTTCTAATGTTATTAAAGCTAAGATTAGGCAATTTCACTCTTATAAAGTAATATAAATTACCCTCAGTTAATTTGTATAAAACCAGGCAACTGATGATTAGTTACCTGAAATGCAAATAAATGATTTTCTAGCCAACGCTTGTAAACGAGCACTGGAATATTATATTTTATGTTTTTACTCTTCGTAACATTTCATATCAATGTAGTGTAAAGTTATTATGAACAAGATCAAATTAGCATCGATGTTAAATTTTTAAAACTACTGTATTGATAGCGTCTTAATAACATCGTTTACTTCCTGAAAATCTATTTTCAGGGTATCGTTAGTGTCTGGGATCACTTGACGGAATCAGACACATTTCTCAAACGCATCCCAGACATGCCTGATGAACTGAAGTCTGTTAAACATCGAAAAAATTATATTTATTCGATATCTTTTAATGAAATGTGTCGCTCAGCTTAGAAACATGCAGTAGGACTTTGCTATCTAATATATTAGGTTGAAGTCAGGGCCAACAGCACCAGCAAAGAATAGTACTGTTACGTCT